TGGTGCCAGAACCAGGAGCGACCGTCACGCGAGCTCTGTAGTGAGGTTGCAGAGAAGGCGAATTCACTACAGGGTCCCTTTGCCACTTTTGCGTCGGCGGCTAGGCAGAATAACTGCGCTGGCGGAAAAGCAGTCGCAACGGGGATACCGTTGAAGCGACTTGTGCCACAATGCAGGAAAAGGGGAGGAGATAGGGTGGGCGGCGGAAGGAGGAGAGAGGGAGCGAGGGCCGCCAAGGGGGGCAAGTCACACCCGGAGCGCGTGGCGCGGCCGGCCCCGCCGGCGGGGTAGGCGGCGGCTGCTGCGCCATGTCCCGGCGGCGGCGGGGCGCAGTGCGGATGCTGGGAATGCTAGTGTTACAGGGTGCGATGCGAACAGTGCCGAAGCCAAAAGTAGATGGCGCTGCGTCCCCTGGGACGGGGGCGGGCACGGTGTGCCCAACCGGTTGCTGGGCCGCTGCGGCGGCGGGCGGCAAGACCACGGCCGGGGCGGCGTCGCAGGCTGCGGGCAGCCGCCCATCGCCATGGCGGCGCGCGGAGTGAGGAGCGAGGGGGGGGGAGGCGGACAGGGGGGGGGGCTCCCCGCTTGCGGGGACCCGCAGGCGGGGCGGCGGTGCCGGGCAGCGGCGGCGTCGTCGGGCGCTGCCGCGCGGGGCGGGAGGGCGCCTGCGCGCGCCCGGCGGGGCGCCGGGAGGGCTCCAGGTGCCTGGGTGGACAGGGTGAGCCGGCCGGAAGCAGGGGTCCGCCAGGGTCGGGGGGCGGGGCGGCGAGAAAGAGGTAGACGCCGAATTGGCGAAAAGTAGGTGAGCAAAGTCCCCCTGCCCGGGTGGACAGAGTGGGCCCGCGGGGGGAAGAGGGAGCTGCCGCCGTCGGATTGGGCGGCAGCGAGCCCAGCCCCGGTCGAAGCTGTGGCAGATGCCAGCGCTTCCAGCCCGCTGGCCAGAGCGGGGGGCGGGGGGGGCGCCGCCAAGGTGCGCGGCTGGGAGTGCAGCAGACGGCCGCCCTACGGCCGCCCTGCCCGAGTGGGCGGGGTTGGCCGTGGGGGGGCGCCCACCGCCGATAAGACGTCGGCGGGCGCGCCTGGGCGGGGCAGTACAGCATCGGAAGCCGGCGCCCCCGGCAGAGCTGGCAGGGGGGCAGGCAGAGGGGAAACGCCAAACCGGTGCGCGTCGGTGAAGAGGAAGATGGGGGGGCAGCTCCCCGGCCCTGGTGTGTGGGGGGCGGCGCGCGGGGGGGCCGGGGGCGCCCGCCGCTGTCCGGGTGGGCGGCCGCGGGCGCGCCGTGGCGCGCAAAACTGATGCTCGGGCCCGAGCGTCTGGCCCAGCAGAAGTTGCGCGCATGGGCGGGCATTGGGCTGGGCCGCGCGCAGCCGGGGGGGGCGCGCGGCAGGGGCGGTTGTGGGCTCAGAGGGGACAGGAGTGGCAGGAACTGGATGTGGAGGGGGATGGGCGAGGAGGAGGGGGGTGGGTGGGGGTGTGGGGGGGTAGAATCGGCGTCTCGGCGGGCCCCCGGGCGTCTTCCGGGCCCGCCCTTGGGACCTCATCGGGGCCTTTTGGGGTGCCTCTCTCGCGGCTGCGCTGTCGGGCCGTGTTGGGGCCATCTTTCGGGCTTCTTCGGCCCTCTGAGGCCGTCTTGCGTGCCTCTTGGAGGCTTCTCTGGATCCTCTTGGAGGGCGCTTGGAGGCCTACTGGGCCGTGTTGGTCTGTCGGGGTGCAGGGGGCCAGCGCGCCCGAATCCCACCCGCGCCCGAGGGGCGTGTCAGCCGGCGTAGGCCCAGTAAATCTTGCGCCGCCCATTCGGGGCGACGCGCGTGTTGCGGTCTATTTGGTGGAGTTAATTTCTGTTCGCAGTGAGTTTTCCGTTCCACTGCTCGTGCAGGCGCCCCGCCCGCCCGCCCGCAACTTAATTTACAAACCCCGTGCGGCGGCGAGTGCGATGAGTGCTTGGCGCTGGCTGGTGCGTCTCTGCGGCCGCGGCGGCCCGCGCGTTCTCGCGCGCGCGGCGGCTGGCTACCTTGGCGCGACCGACGCGGCCGCGGTGGCGCTGGCCAGCGGGCGCTTGAGTGCGAGTCGGCGACTTGGTCGGGCGCGGTATCGTGGCATTGTCGACACTTGTAGACGCGATGATGATGATAGTGTCGATGTTGGCAGCGATGCTGACAGCGACGACGGCGCGGCCAGTGACGGCGCCGATGCCGATCGCGCCGACGAGGGAGGTGATCGCGGCGATGCGCTGACAAGGTTGAAAAGGGAGTCCGCGCGCGCGGAAGTTCGACGAATCGATCGGGCTGATCGTGCGCGCGCGGCGGCGCGCGCGTGTGGCATTTTTTGGTTCCTTCCTCTTCTTCTTCTTCCTCCTCCTGGGGGTGCTATTTCTGAGGTCTGAGGTATTTGCACCCTCGGCGCCTGGCAGGGGCATCGCGGGTGCGCCGCGCGGTGACATGACATCGCTGGGTGGTTGAATTCGTGAGAATCCTGCGGCTCTCGTAAAATTTAGCATGG